TACTTAATGCTATTGGGCACGCGGCTATGAAGAAATACATGCATTTTGGCCTAGAAGAAAAAGATAAAAAAAGTGAGATTAAAATATTTGCAAAAATAGAGAAATGTCTTATAAAAAATAATAATATTATATATAACAGATATCTCTTTAACAAAAGAAATCAAGAGGAAGGTGAAGACATAGATACTTATATAAGAGAGTTGAGAAAATTAATCAAAACATGCAGTTACAACGCTAACATGGTAGATGAAATGTTAAGGGACAGAATTGTGGTTGGAATAAGAAACACGGAAACAAAAAAAGAATTGTTAAGGGTCGAAGGACTCGATTTGATAAAGACCATTAATATATGTCAATCATCGGAAGCCACAACGGAGCAGTTGAGATCACTTGGCACATCAGAAGGTATGGTCAATATTAATAAAATTAATAAAGACGTTAAAATCTGTAAATTTTGTGGTGAAAAGCACATATTTAATAAAAAGCTTTGTTCTGCATGGGGAAAGAGATGTGAAAATTGTGGAGGCAGGAATCATAATAAAAGGGTTTGTAAAAAGAGCAAACTAGTGAAAGAAATAAATACAGATAACATAGAAGAAGAAACAAGTGATAACAGCTTGTATATAGCAAAAATTAGAACTAATCAACATTCTGGACAAAAAGAAGTGGAACTAAAGTTAAAATTTAATAAAACATGGTTAGATGTTTTCTGCACATTAGACACAGGTGCTCAGGTATGTGTTATTGGTGCTAAGCAATACAGTAAGATGAGTAAAGATTACTGTCTGCAACATCTACAATCTACAGATTTGAAACTCAAATGTTTTAACGGCACAAGTATAGACACATTAGGTGTGATTGATATAGAGTGCATATATAAAAATAAGAAATACCGCCTGCTGTTTCATGTTGTAAATGTTAGTCATCAACCACTCTTATCTGAAGCTGCTTGTGTTTCACTTGGGCTGATAAACTATTGTAATAGTGTCACAGTGAGTGCAGACAATCAGAAGGAGGCTTATGATATCATTAAGAAATATGCAGATGTGTTCGAGGGGTATGGAGAGCTTCCAGGGATAGTGGATTTGGAAATAGATGAATCTATTCCTCCCCGCATTCAACCTGCACGTCGAGTTCCCATGGCGCTCCGAGCATCACTTAAAGAAGAACTGGATAGGTTAGTAAAAAATGACATAATTGTAAAGGAGGAATCACATACAGATTGGGTTAATAACATACTGATAGTGCGCAAAGGTAAAAAATTTCGCATTTGTCTAGATCCTATACCATTAAACAAAGCGTTAAAAAGACCTCATTTTCAGTTCACAACTTTAGAGGAAGTATTGCCAGAATTAGGAAAAGCCAAGGTTTTTAGTACTGTTGATGCATTAAAAGGTTTTTGGCATGTGAAGCTTAATGAGAAAAGCAGTAAACTCACAACCTTTTGGACACCTTTTGGAAGGTATAGGTGGTTAAGACTTCCATTTGGTATTTCCCCGGCACCAGAAATTTTCCAACAAAAATTGTTATCGGTTCTACATGGTCTAAAGGGTATTGAGGTTATGGCTGACGATATTTTGGTATATGGGTCAGGGAACACAACAGAAGAAGCAATAAAAAACCATAATATTAATTTAGAAAACCTTTTATTAAGACTGAGAGAAAATAATTGCAAACTAAATAAAGATAAATTAAATTTGTTACAGAAATCAGTGAAGTTCTATGGACATGTTTTAACTGATACTGGCCTTAAAGTGGATGAGGAGAAGATCACAGCCATCAAGAATATAACTATACCTACATGTTCTAAAGACGTATCAAGGCTTCTGGGGATGGTAACATACTTGAGCAAGTTTATTAAAAATTTAAGTCTAAATGTCAGCTCTTTGAGAGCATTAACAAAAAAAGATGCTATTTGGCAATGGACAGAAAAAGAACAATCTGAATTTGATCAAATAATTTCATCTTTGTCTAGCTTACCAACCCTTAGATACTATGATATGGGCAAACCTTTGATTATAGAATGCGATGCCAGTAGCATAGGACTAGGAGCAGCACTCTATCAAAATAATGAGGTGGTAGCATTTGCTTCTAGGACTTTAACTAAGACAGAAAAAAGGTATGCCCAAATCGAAAAGGAAATGTTGGCTGTGGTCTTTGCTTGTGCTAGGTTTAGTCAGTATGTAACTGCAAATACTAATACTATTGTCAGAACTGATCATAAACCTTTAGTTAATATCTTTCAGAAACCTTTAATAGATGCTCCAAAAAGATTACAGCTTATGTTAATGATCCTACAAAGATATGATTTAAAAATTGAGTATATATGTGGAAAAAATAACTTTGTTGCGGATGCTCTTTCGAGAGCTCCAACTGAAATGAAACACTCCTCTGACACATCTGATGATTGTAAACAAATTTTTAATATTATAGCTAATCATACTTCAATAAAATATCTCAAAATATCAAACAAAATTATGAATAGTATAAAAAAAGAAACTGAAATTGATTTAGAATGTCAACAGCTAATTAAGTACATAACAAATGGTTTTCCAAATTACATATCAGATATGCCTGAAAGTCTAAGATGGTTTTATAAATTTGCCTCTTCCCTATCAGTCCAAGATAATATGATATTTAGAAATGATCAGGTTTTAATTCCTAAATGCCTGAGAAAAGATATGTTGTCAAAGGTTCATTTAAGTCATAATGGTATCAACAGTTCCATTAAATTAGCAAAACAAAATATCTTTTGGCCAGGCATGTCTGAAGATATCAAGAACTTTATTGAAAAATGTAGACTTTGTATGAAATACTCACCATCTCAAGTCAGATTTCCGATGTTATCACATGATATACCTACGTACCCCTTTCAGTATGTATCTATGGATGTTTTTAATGTAAAAATTAATTTACAGTCTCTAAATTTTCTTATAACAGTAGATCATTATTCAAACTTTTATGAAATAGATAAAATAAAGGATCTGTCATCTAGAGAAGTTATAAATATTTGTAAAAAGAATTTTGCGAGATATGGAATACCACAAAAGCTATGCACTGATGGAGCTACTAACTTTGTTAACAAAGATTTTACTAAGTTTGCTGAAGATTGGGATTTTGTTCATGTGACCTCTTCACCACATTACCCACAGTCAAACGGGATTGCTGAAGCTACGGTTAAGTCTGCAAAGAAGCTCATTATTAAATCCTGTGAAGCTGGTGATGACTTTTGGATCTCTTTATTACACCAAAGAAATGTCCCAAATAGTGAAGATGATTACAGCCCTGTACAGAAATTTTTGTCTAGAAAAACTAGGACTCTATTACCATGTACTTCAGAGCAACTGGTTCCTGTAAAAATTTGCAAAATTCCTGAAAAATTGAGATTGAGAAGAGAAAAATCAAAATACTTTTATGATAAGAAATGTAGAAAATCTTATTCCTTAACAACAGGTCAGAATGTGGCTGTCCAAATAAGCCCAGAAAGCAGCAACACATGGAAATTAGGAGTTGTTGTTGAAAGAGTAAGTGAAAGATCATATAAAGTAAATGTAGATGGTGTTATTTACAGACGGGACATAACACATATAAAACCCTACAAAGGATCAAGCGAAGAAACAGTTTCTGAGAAAAATAATGTAAGGAAAGAAAGGAAAAGTGTGTCTAACAGTGAGGCCAATCAGGACTGTGAATTAAATAACAAACAAAATAGTGATAATATAGATTATGGTTGTGATTTAGTTATTAATGACAATAATGTAAACTCTAGTGTAACCTCTTCTCCAAGTGAATCAAATATAGATATTTCTAGGCCTGTACGATCAAAGGGTATCCCAGTAAAGTACAGAGATTATACATTGTACTAAAAATTTATTTGAGATCTTTGTTATGGTTAAAAAGTGATAATAATAATTAAAGGATATTGATTTGTATGATGTAGGTGCATATATGATTTCTGATTATGTAAGATAAGGTACTGAGATGCTTGTTAAAACAGAGAGGATGTTCTGTGTAGTACAGCTTAATAGATGTTTTAGTCTGTGGCTAATATGTAGCCAAGTTATGCTAACCTGTGGGACTGACACTTTTGACTCTGGCTCTTGAGATATGTAACCATTCTATAATAACTTGATTTCTAATAAATTAAAAGACATTGTTAAGTGTAACAATTATTTAATAAATCTGTTATATCTTGGAGTATATGACGTACTTATTAACAGAATCCACCCACAATAACACGCGAATGACATTTAGTTGTTTACTGAAAGAGACGTCACAATCATGGCGGATGTGGCGAACAGCGTTTTTAGTGTTTAAAAAATATAGACTAAAAAATATTTTTTAAAATTAAATTTCTACAGCAATCTTCTGCTTTTATGAAGTGAAATCGATATATTTAGGTTCCTTAGACCAAATACTGTAAGAAATAAACATTTATTTAATACAATTCGATATGAGTCAACTAGCCTAAGCATTACTCATCTCGTACCTACATTCCCTGTCCGCATTCCCGCGGGCCGCCGCTGCTGTGGAACCCTGCAAACCATAGGGTACGGCCACAGTGCACGCAGGTTCAGAAGCAGGGTGGCCATAGTGGCAGCAGGCAACCTGCTTAAACTACACTGTTTATTTCTCGCGCTTGTTTTCTGAGTCTGAATCTGATTCTGACTCTGCGTGCACTGTGGCCGTACCCTTATACTGTACTGTAGTTAGGTTATTATAATGCGATTCAAATAATAATAGGAAAGCCAATGACCTCCATCTGTCAAATGTAGCTTGAAAAGTACGGCTTGCAAAAAATCTTGGAACCCTTTTTTAGCACTCAGCTAATTATGGAATAAAAACCAAACATTTGTAAACAAACAATAACAAATATTGTTAATTAATATTGGTTGATATTTTATTTTCATTTATTGAGCCTTGACTATGAATGTTTGATAACCTAAATCGTCAACCAAATGTCACTTTAAGTTGCGTTCAGAAACTTGATTTAAAACTTTGGTTTACATATAGGATACATGTTCGTATGTGACCTAGTAATAGTGCATGATTATTCATAACTACTCCGGCGGTAATGCAGAGATGAGCGGAATTGAAGGGCTTAATTCTGATTAATGTTTTTTCTCGCACAGTCTTAATAAATAAATATTATTGAAAATCGGTTATTTTCTTTTCTCAATTTTAGTAAATAAATTTTATTATAAAATCGGATGTTTTTTCTCACTTAATCTCAGTAAATAACTTTTATTAAATAAAAACTTTTTTGCTCACTCTACCTTTTTCGTTTGAATTGACAGCTTTGACGTCACAATATGGCGCCCCGTCGATCCTATTCTTAGTTGAATCGCATTATACCTAACTATTGTGTTGAACCAATGGATTCTCAATATCTTTAAATTGAGTAGGTATATAATTACAGTATTGAATATTTTATTTATTTGACTGTATTCTGCTTGATATTTCAGATAATTCAATGTACGAGAGAAGCGCGTACAGGTGTCAACATAACGCTTGATACAGACAACGTCAGGTTTTTTACAAATGTTACTTCTTGCATATTGGCCCGAACTAGATGTAGTAGCTTCAATCCAATTACCGGAGAACCCCAAATATCAGGAGCCTCGTCTTCTGGAGCTCGAATAAGTAATGCTCTTCAGTTTTCTAACACTGGAGAATTAAGGATATTGGCACTTCCAGCTAATACTCCGGTTGTGAACGCTTTTTGTGCTGCTTCGTCTAACTTGACCCAAACAAGTTGGTTGACAAACGTTTGTTGAAAAAAGATTTTTTTACTATGTCTCTTATTTTTTTTACATTTATCATACCAAGCAACGTAACCGTATATTTTGACTGATTTCATACAAATATTTTGTTACCACTAATATAACTGTATTTTTTATATTAGGTAAGGACTTAATATTGAGTAGGTAGGTAACTATTATTATTTTATAAATTTCATGCAATTATTTCGCTCGCTTTGCTCGCGCTAAGTTTAGGTCGCAACACTTAACCTAACCCTCTGTGAGTTAGTCAAAAGTTAATTGATCTGTATTCATTGGGTAAGCATTATAAAATCCGTCCGTCATTTTATATGCAATTGGGTAGGCTAGGTTAGGTTTGGTTGGGATAAATACGGGTTAATTGATTTACTACCCAATTACATCAAATGAAGCTTGCATATGGCAATTGGCAAGATTAGCCTTAGCCGTCATGCCATAATAAAAGAAGAAGACCTGTGGGTTTTGGCGGGAATTTATCGAGTGCGGTTGGCGTCTTATTTTAATTATTGTTGAATTCATTCATAGTGGATATTGTGAAATAAAATTGGTGTGATTTTGTGTTACAACCGTGTGCGCCACTGAAGAATTAACGGAATCTTTAAAATATATGTTATTCCGGTCAAGTGGACGTAAAAACTTTATTGCAGTGTTGACTACCTCACAGAAGCTTTTCGAGAAAGCTGACTCGATATATTTTGTACCAAACACTCCAAGAAACATTAGAATGTGTCACACCCATATACTAATGTAAAAAAAAGAATATTGATACAAAAATAAGACGATGGCTGCATGGCTTTGCCTTTTGCAATAGGGAAGAATAGAACGAAAAAAAAGAAGACCTGTGTTTTGACGTTTCACTACATAAAATAAACTTTACTTTAAACTTTTTGAATGTATTTTACTTATTAAAACTAACGTGCAACTACGTCGACGACTGCGAAAATATCACGGATAAAATACTAGTAAGTAAATATTCACTAGTATCTTATTTGCATGCATTTAGTTATTAAATAATGTAGGCATTTTGGACTATTTTTATTTCATTTCAACAGACCTTGGATCTGACACTTATTATTTTGATGAGGTACCTATTTGGTGCATTAAAGGAATTATAGCTATATTACATCATTTTATTCAGACTTTATTTATGTATTATTGCTGCATTTTAACCTTCAGTTTAGATAACATTTCACTGGGGAAATTAATTATTTGTTTAATATATTTAGCATATTTTATTTCCAATTAAAGGGTTTAATTTTATTTAATATAAATAATTCTGATCATAACTTATATAAGAAACTTAACAAATTGTTATCAATTATACTTTGACAAATCAACCACTAATAATGCCTATTTTACTCACATTTAAATAATCCACATGTTTATTGCTAAAATAAGAGACTTACAGGTTTAAATAATAAAATAATTCTGATCAGAACACCAAAGTAGCTGTTAAATTAAGTTTTAAGTTTATTATCAGAGGTAGCTTTTCTTAATTTTGGTTTTAACACTTTGGTTTTCTTTCTAATTTTTCTTATAAATTGACTTGAATCATCAGTATCAGAATTATCAGATATTACTGAGGAGTTTGTTTTGTTGGTGTTTTTCTTAGTTTGAATTGCAGTAGTTATTATGGCGCTCTTCCTGAAGCGGCTTTTCCCTTGTCTGCTATCACTGGGGTTAGATTTCTGTATCAATGATGGCACATTTTTAGTTGGTATATCTGTGAAACTTGGATTATTCATATAATGAGAATTTTCTGACTTTGAATGTTTTAATCTGAAAAAAGAAGTTTGTCTTGTACACACCCTGGCAAACCTCTTGAGCATCAGCTATGGATGATGGAGCCTGTGCAGTAACAATTTTACATACAAAACTTTTACCGTGCAAGTTTTTTTTGTCTATGGTTTTGGTTATGCATAATAACTTATTTTGAATTTTACAAGAACTTTCATTAAATAGTAAAGGCTGTTATACTTACTTTCCTTTTTTCTTTGAAGGTTTTGGTTTACTGTAAGGTTCCATTATGTCTTCTACAATATTTGGCACCTTGAGAAGATTCTTTTTAGATTTCTTTTTCTTCTTCTCCTCTTTATTCTTCTTTCTATCCCCTTCCAACTCTTCTAACTTTTTGGAACATGACCTGTTGCATGTAAGTGATAGCTTAATTTATGAGACTAACAACTAATAAAGATAATTACTTATAATGCATTATAATTATAATATCATTCTGTATTAAACTTATAAGTGATTTAAATATTGAAGTAAAGATGTTTTGCATAAAAAATATATACCTTAGTAATGCCTCACTATCCGTAAAGTAAGAGTTCATAGCAAAGCTAGAGATGCCCCAGGATAGCGGTCCTTTTTCTTCAGTTTGCGTCCCTGTCCAGACATTTCTTTTCAAACAGTTAAGTTTTACCTGTAATTCTGTAGGTTGTGAATTTTTGTTCTTAATATCTGACAGGTGCCTAAAACAAAAATATTTCTTTGCTTGTGATTGAGTTAAATTTTCAACAAATACACTAACTTTCATTATCTTTATAATTTATTGCATTATTTCATATTTATATAGGTTTTACATAATAATTGCTTATTCCTTACTTTGGTGGAGGTAGTCCTTTAAATCTGTGCCAGGAAGCAGGATTGAGTTTAGGCTTGTCAATTGTTTCATTAAACATTGATACACTTCGGGGTCGTCCAGATTTAGGGAGTTTCTTTTCACAATCAGAGTGGTATGGTGAATCACTAGTCTGAAATTAAAGATTTTCTTCAGTTTTCATTGATTTGATAAAGATAAACAAATATGTGCTAGGAAATGTAGTTTTCCACTTATTATGTAAGTGTAATCACTAACTGACCAGTCTCAGGCTCAGTATTTTTTTTATTGCTTTCGAAGGCAAACAACAGTAAGAAGGTAACAATACTATGTGGGGCCTTATTTGCGCTTTGTAAAGCAGAAGCTTTGCTTAGACGTGAAGTACTGCTTGGTCTGATTAAGAACTTTCAACTTCTTAGAGACCAGTTAGGCCTTGCCCTCTGATTTTTTTCTAAACCGGACGTCACACGTAATATCGCAACGGTTTTGTGTAGTGAGACTTCTTGGAATTGTGGCGTGACAGCAAATGAGTCCTTAGGCGTTGCAGTGAATACGCAAACTTGTGTCTTGCCAGGGTTGAACGAGACAAGGTTCTGTTCTGACCTTCCTATTCGGAGACTCGCTCAAGCGTACCCTCCACTTCGGACACAAGCTTATTCCGCCATTCCGAAACTACAGCTCTAGGGATATTTGTATAGCCGGTATACCTCGCGTTACACGTGCTGTCATCTGCATAGTATTGCACGCCGGAAACTAAAATACAACGTTGGGGAGAGCCGAACCGAACCTTGTGGAACTCCAGTGTTTATAGTCATGGATTCGGAGCAGGAGCCATCGAAAACGACTTTAATGCTCCTGCTGTCCAAGAAACTGGCTATCCACTTTGCACTGTCCGTCAGGTAGTACGCCCGAGACCGATTTATAGACGCAAAAAAACTTAAGAATTTGCTTTTTCACAGATTCAAGGGACCGTAGACCTGAGTACATAAACTCCCGAGTTTCCGAGATAAAGGGTCTTGACAGACAGACAGACAGACAGACACTTTCCAAGTAGAGTTTTTTAAACTAGGGATGCTAAGACGTGTTCTGATGGCCATGGATACTGGGAGGTTTTTACACAATGGCTCACTTTGGGATGTATGAGGGTTAAGGGTTAACTCTATCCGCAGTGTTTATTAAAGTACTGACCGACGGCTGTGATGCTTCAACTTCATAATGTGTTTTTAAATGTTTGTGATACCAGGCTCGTCTTTTGTAAGTTTTCCCGCACGTAGGGCATCTTAATTCCGTTTTCACGCCGGGGTCGTCGTTTTTATCTATCGGTGGACAGATTCTCCTTTTCACGGATTCGCCGTGCGGGTGCCGGGACCATCGCGTGGGAGAGAGAGAAACTCTGAGCAGTTCCCGTGACATGCGACCCAAGTGTTTGACCTACACCAGGAGGCCCCCTTTGAGATGCGCATCAACGCTCACCTACACTGCTCGAGTTTCTCGCTCTTCCTGGCCAAATTTAATAGGAGCCTGTTAGCGCAGCTTTAATTATAGAAGAAAAACCTACGCGAACTCACATGTGCGGGTATAATTTTTAATTCCGGTGGCATTTTTTTTCTTCTCCTAGGTTTCGGTTTTGGTGATGAGTGCAGTAGTTTATGCACTTTTCTGATAGGACTAAGATTTTCTTCTAATGATTCACCATCTGATGTAGCATCAGTCATAGCATCTGACGTTAAATCTATTGTGGCTCTAGATACCTAAAATCAGAAAATTCTATGGTTCTTCCCAGAGCTTATTACTTTTAAGGAACATTAAAATTTAAAGATCAAAGCAATTTAAAGGATTAAGTACATATAGAGCTATATTGTGAAGATCAAACCTGAAGAGTTTCTCGCTTCGGATTTTTTATTTCAATTCTTTTTAACTTTTCTAACTTCGGTCGAGGCCTTCTTATAACCTGTGGGAAATGTAAAAAAATGTAGATGTGATTAATATTTTATTAAATATATTGACATATTGCTCATTGTTTTACCTCAGTGATGTTCCTATTTATACTAGGCAGTAAAGGTGACGGTGGTGGTGCAGGCTGTGCCATATCAATTGGCTCCTTAGCTGCACAAGCTTCTGAACTACTGCTAGACGTATCTCCTTCATCACTTATCAAATAAACAAAGCTGACATAAGTAAATTTATCAAATCAACGCCTAATTATTATTATTATCATTGAGTACCTGGAATAATCAGATAAATCTATATTAGTGGGTTCATCTGCATTAGATCCTTCTTGCAATAGTCTGGTTACAATTTTAGTCCTTAATCTTTCTTTACTGGGATCTTCGTCGTAGAAATCTAATAGTGTTTCGCAGAACGTTTTTCCTAAGCTTTCGAAATCTTGTACTGAGAAGTGTGTTGACATTCGGCTTCCTAATTCTGACCCACCGAATGATGCTTCCATTGTGTAACTATTCGCTACACCTAACATCCAAACGACTACTCGACCAGTCCCTTCTTTACTGCGTTGTATTCGAAATTTACAATTTTCAAATGAGAACTGAAACAATAAGTGATAATTTTTTGATAAGGCGAAGAGATCTGAAATTAATTTCAATGGAAAAGAAGTAATTGTTGTCACCTTGTCTGCAGCATTTTTATGGAGCATAAGCGGAAATACTTGCTCCTGTAGTCGTTTGTCACTAGTTTTACGACTCTCACATCCGTAAATGAAAACGTTGTGTTTTCGGGAATGTGCATGCAGATCTACATACATTGCAACCCCACATTCCTCCTGTAATCTAATCAATGATTATTTATTGGCAATATATTATTATGTATGTGGAATATTGGCAATTCTTACCTTCGTACCATTACTTTAGTGTGCCAAACTGGTGGATAGGTTTCTCTAATAACTGTTCGGTATTGCCTGTTTAGATCCTTTCCGGTCAGTGAACAGCGATTGTTGCCAACAATTACCTGCAACAATAAATTTCGCTTTTATGTTTGTTACATTTACTATGTACTGACGTTGTATTAGGTTTTTGTATTAATTGACGGTGACTCACACCGTCTGGATTCAACATTGGCACCAATTTAAATATAAATTTTTCTCGTAGTTCTCGTGCTTGATTGGAATCTCCCGTTAAATAGTCCATAAAACCTTTCATCATCCACGACGAAGGTGTTTCTCCAGGGTGCACTCTCGCTGTTATTATTACAGCTTTCTTTTTCTGCAATGTCGAATTACAAACTTCAAGAAAATATTCAGATTGTGTCTATAGATGAGTAGAGTTCTGTAATATTTGTACGGAATGGATGATCACCTTTTGCTCAATTTCGTTGGGATTTGGTGGAGCTGTGACCGTTAAGTAATACACATTGTTACCGGCTAGTGTGCGACAAAGCAGTCTTAGTTTTGAATATGTCGATTTCACCGGGTGAGCTTGAAGCCGCGAAAGATATTCTTGCAGATCTGAATACGTGTATGGATAGCAGTGAGCTATGTAAACCGCATCATCTGTATGTGGAAATTCTATGTTGAATGTCAGTGTATAACTGGGAAATTGATCTTCCTCCTCCGATCTAAAAAATCATGATAAAATGTGTATCCGAACAATATTATGAATTTATTTTTATTTATTTATTAGGATTTCGACATCTGCCACGCCAGAAATTAAATCATAGTGCGCCAATCGCAACTGTCCTTACGGAAAACGATAGTCTATCATCATAATAAAATTGTACAAGAACGTATCAGAAATCTTTGTTCTGGTAAATTAAAACGTTGCATGGTTTTTATGTGAGAGATAAATATTTTACTGATATTTATATCCCTCATGCTGTCAAAATGGTAGAATAAAATTTTATTATTAGAGTATCTTCCCTACATGTAACCTGAAGATGATTTGATTTTTTCATCGTCTATTCCATCGTATGGGGTATCGTTAAATATGCCCTTTAAAATAACTTAGGGGTTCCTAAGACTATTTTATGATTTAGGGGTCCGTTTGCGAAATATTGAACTTTAAAGTGCTAATTTTTGTTCGTGTATGGCGTCCCCCCCTCTAAAAGCCAAACTATTGGTTTGAAAAACCTGGAAAATTCATGATGATAGTGCTTTTCATGAACTTTTAAGGAAAATTATAACGGTTAAAATAGATTTGTTAGTTTAAGAGTAATAGTCGTTCAACATACGTATTATAAATATCTGACCTAATAAAAAATCCTTAAGAGAAAACATTAAAAGATTTAAGACTTAGACGAAGTAAATGCTTAAAATATAGACTCTTTCCTAAATATATTGTGGTGACGACGAGCAACTACGGAACCCTACGCTGCGCGTGGCACGGTTCGTGCCGAACGACACGCACTTGGCCGGTTTTTCGGTTTAGTGTTGTCCGCACCCTTGTTGTTTTAATGACCTTAACTGCGGTAATTAATCTATCACTTTATCGCACGTTACTTACGTAGATTCATTTTTGTAGTATGCAATATTTTCACCACAGCGTCTCCATCCTATTGAATGCAGTTGTGCGTCCTTGGTGGAATATAATAAAGGTCGCATACCTTCGTTGTATAAACTTTCACCTTTCGATAGATTTACTATTGAAAACCTGGAAGTTTTATTTATTTATTAAACACCAAATAGACACAGTGTATTTTAATATGTATTAAATGGTGTTAGTTACCTATACATCATTTGCTTCTTAGTGTTAGTCACTCTAAAGTAAAACCATTGCATATGTCTGTTAGTGTACAAATCAGTTCTAAGATGTAATTCGTAGTAAGCCGAAGTAATTTTTATTGCTTTTGCAAGATTACCACATTCAAATCGAGATTCAAATCTTAGTTCATCTTCGGCTCCTGCACTCGGGCTGGCACTAGCGCAAGCTGATAAAAACAGTCTTGAACCTCCAACCGTGGAACGGCTAAACTGTAAAAATATACCACCTCTCATATCGACCCCTCTGGCTTCAATTGTCGTTAACGTCATTACGTACTTTTTACACGAGAAGCAAAAAACAAAAAAATAAACAGATATTTTCTATCAAAATATATATTGTTTAAAGTTGAAATAGGCAGATCGAAAATATTAAACTAAACTGCATATTTGATAAATTTTGGCACAGAGTGCCGTTTACGACCATTAAGGCCAGAGGGGTCGATATGCATGAGGGAAATCATAGTGAAATTTCCTCGAATTGGAGCGTGGCGCCGGTTAGGGGACAGTCCTCCTTACAGAAGATTGCAGTTAAACAGGTGGTGAGGAAGGTTTACAGAGCTCTACGTAAGAGGATATCGGGGTAGGCAATCCGATTGAAGATCTGGTTATCTATGGGTAGTCTTACCGTCAAGCGGACTATATAGTCATTTACCTCCCTTTTTATACACAAAGAAGAAAGGGTGCTTATTGTCATAATATGAAGGTAAGGAACCCAGGGAAAGTAATTTTAATCTTTTTAGGGTGAATTTTGGCACAGAGTGCCGTTTACGACCATTAAGGCCAGAGGGGTCGATATGCATGAGGGAAATCATAGTGAAATTTCCTCGAATTGGAGCGTGGCGCCGGTTAGGGGACAGTCCTCCTTACAGAAGATTGCAGTTAAACAGGTGGTGAGGAAGGTTTACAGAGCTCTACGTAAGAGGATATCGGGGTAGGCAATCCGATTGAAGATCTGGTTATCTATGGGTAGTCTTACCGTCAAGCGGACTATATAGTCATTTACCTCCCTTTTTATACACAAAGAAGAAAGGGTGCTTATTGTCATAATATGAAGGTAAGGAACCCAGGGAAAGTAATTTTAATCTTTTTAGGGTGCGGTACCTTAAAAGAAAAACGGAACCCAATGATCACTTTGTTGCCCGTCTGGCAGTCGGTCTGTCCCTCTGTCTATTAATCTCAGAAACGCCTAGAGGTATCGAGTTAAAATTTTAACCATGTACTCAAATCTACAGTCCGTTGAAGCTGTGAAAAGATTAAATTTTAGTTTATTTTATTTTATAGGTAGGTCTGACAGATGACTCCACACCACCTGATGTTAAGTGACGGTGAAGTCCAGACGCGAAGATAACTGATACAGCAGGTTGTACCTGCCACACCAGCCATCCTCACCCTGCCAGACTGCATGTTGCTTCTTCACGCCTCTTTTAAAGAAGGTTGTCCCAGGTTGTATGAGGGAGGGAACACGTGAGCGGGCGGAGCGTTCCATTGACGAATAGTGCGACAAAGAAATGAGTCTCCAAACTTCTTTGTACGCGTTGGAATAGTGGCCACAGTTAGTCGGTGGCAATGAAGGCCAGCGCGCGTGGTCCTCTGAAGGAAAGGGGAAGGTGGAATAAGAGAGAATAACTCCTTAGAACACTCGTCGTGGGTCAGAGGATGGAACGCAAACGATATTAAATACCCTAGCTAGATATAACAACACGAACAAAATCGTGGTCGAAGCGTGTCCAAAAGTACATTGGACGATCCACGGAGCTCCGTAAGATGATCACGTGGTCAAAAACAACATAAGGCATTATTTAAACATTGAAACTCACCCTTAATGAATACTGTATAAGGTCTTAAATTAAACACATGCGTCAAATACTTATGACAGTTCCAAATGCAAGCTCGTAAAATTTTACGACTTATTGCTATATGCGGAAGAATATAGACCCTATATTTTTGATAACGCACACTTCTAACGCACAATCTGAATGCGCTTTTAGCAATATAGCAGGTATCTACCGCGAGGAAAAGAGACGGCTATACGGCGACGTATAACCGACCATGCATTTGAATATCATAAATATTTTTTTAAATCAGTTTATAGTAAGTACTTATTACAACAAAAATTGTTTCAAATGCGTTAAAAACATTAACAAACATTGATTATATATCTGTCGAAAAAACGACACTTTACGTACTATTAGTCTTTTTTTCGCATTTTTCACGGAGCTCTGCGGCAACTTGACTATTCAACGGTCCGCGCGCGTGACTGAATCAAGAAGCGCTTGAGTGTTCAAGCACTTCTTGATTGGGACACATTTTGAGCGCTCGTGGTGTGTCTAGGGTATTTAATATCGTTGTAGAACGCGTTTAATGAGTCCACGTCACGGCGTAATTGAAGGAGCTCGAGGTGTTAAGTCACCTCCTCATCGCCTATGATGCGGATCGCGCGCTGCTGTAACCTATCCAAGCATCGAGATCGAGATCCAAGCATCCGAGTATCGAGCAATTACTTGGAAATAAGTATCGTACTTACTTGTTAAGGGTAAAAAAAAGTTACGGCTATTTAAGTTGTGTATCTACAAATCTGTACTCACACTTGGTTTTAGATAGGGATAACAGAAGTTACCGTATGACCGCGCAACAAAGAAGATTTTTTTGCAAAAAGTTTATTTTTTTATATTTACACGCAATTTTAACTAGGTAGTTCTGTAAGCATGCAGAAGTACCTAGTTAAAATGGCCTGTCAACACACCACCTATCGAAGAAAAAATACAGCTTTATTTTTCTCTACGGTAGGTAAGTGTTCGTCAGTTTCATGTTTTGTTGATCCTATGCAAGTCAATTCTTGGAATACAACTCGTTACTTTGTACCTTCATAGAATTTGGTATTAGACTAGGATTTGATATCGGCAATGCTATATGGATGAATCCGCATCCGTTTTTATTACTGTGTGACTAGATTTAAATGTCATCTTAGGTCCATCACAAAATTAAAAAGCCTTACAAATATATGTTACATGCCATTGCAAAGTACCAGAAGTCTTGGTATTTGCAGAAAAACTGAAGTAAATCATTTCGTTTACGGAGACCATAGACCATACACATGATATTTGTGGCATTGAACTGGCAAAGGCTAGGCGTATAATTTTTTATTGCCATGCCATCGAGCCAATACAATTGTTAAGCAAATATGTTTCCTTCGAATTCTTTTTATAGCAGAAGTTTCAATTTCAAGGTCCTGTAAATTTAATAGTCCCTGTAGATATTACGTTCTTTCTTATTAAGTAATCGTAATCAGTTTACAGGGTGTATACTTACGTAATTAACGGCACTCATTGGATAATATTGAAATATTACTGTACCAGCGTCTTCACCGACTGGTTGTGGCTTTAGTTCTTTTCCAGTTGGTACATAATATGGTTCAGGTGACGCAGGATTCCATGACAAATGTTGTATCCTCTCTTCAACTACCTAAAACGATGAGGTATAATATAGATCAGATTATTTGGCAGAGGCAGAAGGATTTATTCGGGCCAGATAAGATAGCATTGGCTAGGGGCTGTATACGAGCCGAGCGGATTAATGTTAACGTCGATAGAATTAATGAACTTTAAAAATGACCTTGTATTTGAGCCTACCATATTGTATAAAATTTTTAAAATCTTTATTTATCTCGATATGAAGATTCGGTAACTAGGTATCACGTTATGAACAATCTTTGAAGTATACGTAAATAAATTATTGTTCTTCCTTATTTTATTTAGAAGTAAATGATTATGTAAGTATTTCACATTATATTATTATATTACATTTTTAAATAATATTACACGATATCAATTTGATAATAATTAATAAGATTATGTATTATGGTCAGTGATCTGGACGCGTCGGTTATGTTGCTCTATGATTAAATACATAAAAAGTTACAGTAAAAACAGCCAAATGGCGAATTTAGAAATGGTTCTAATGAATTTTATTAAAAATAAATATTTTATTGTTTAGATTAATTTAACACACCAATATTCTGTATATATGGCTCAATATTGATTTTCCTTCAAAAACATTTATTTAAATGCTTTATCTAAAATAGCAAACAAGCAGACAAAGCCTAAAAAAATAGAGTGAATGCTTATTTACCGTAAGAATTTAAATATAATAAATAAACAAATTTGCGTTGAAACAGAATAATAATTAATGTAATTTTTATAGCACTAACCTGACACTCTGAAGGCCATCTAGGCGCCTGTTGAGGACAGTCTAATTCTTTTGGTAATGCAAATAAATCACGTGGCTCTTTTAATTTTGCGGTAGTCCTAAATGTCCTTATATCAGTATTAATTTCAATTTGATTAGTCTTGATATTATTTTGAAGAAAATTTGATAAAAATGTCCCTGTATAAAGAAAGTATTGCGAGTAATGTATAGTCAAAATTATTTTCAGTGTCTAAATATTTAGAGCATTATACAACTACCTAATTTATTACCCATTCAAAAATATCGATTCATTGTAAAGGTCTAGTTTACCTTTGTTGTAAATAGGAAATAGGGACGCTTGTAGTGATTTCACTTGTTCTAAATTAGCTATAAAGTAATTATGTTGCAACACAGGCTCTGTCGGGTGTAATGTAAGGGTTACTGTCGTATTATTTACATATTGCCTTCTGGTTTCTTCTTCCCGTTCAAACATTATTAAGTGATTCTGTACGCTTTCTAGCTGCTTCCACCATAACATCTTAGTATAAGGATCTAAAATTAACATTCGCAACTGCTTGCTTTCCGAACTAAAACGTTATACTATTTTATTTATCGTTTTCGACGCGATGCTTTCTGTCACCATGACTACAATTCAAATCAGCTACCTAATCTAAAATCTACCAGCGGCAGTAAACTTGAGTTCACCATACGACGACCCGAAATAAACTGACTAAAATGCTTCTACTTTTTGATTATTGGAACACATTTTCGTGCGTTCGGATAAACTTAACAGGTGATTGTTTATATAAAGCTAAGACTTATGCCAAATATTAGGGGACTATCGAGACATAAAACAGATGAGACGACTTAAATTATTTTATGATAGTTATTTTATGGAGCGTTTGACACGCTATTGGATTCGCGAACCATAAAGAATTTATATAATAGATCTTGCAATTGATTAGCTCCACATACTCTGCCTGCTGTATTCTACCTCTGCGTTTGCTCATATTAAAGTAAGATTTGGATATTTCAATAAAGTTAATTTTTTAAAGAAGAAATTATATAGAGTGCTCACTTACCTTTATTGATCTCTGCAAGTCTTTCTTGACTTTCCAAATTTTCAACAGCATAATAATGTTCTGCCATTGTTATTATTTCGTTTACACTGTCGTTGTCTATCATAGGGCTTCTGCTAGAAAATATTAGACTGAAGAATTATTCACCCCCTACAATCTGTAGTCTCTCCGTGCTTTGTATAGGCAAGACTGCCAGGCGTTTCAACAGTACAGTTATAAAGCATATGACTAAGAATGCCTTCTTAGAATTTATTTTTAAGATACACAGAAAAACTAATTATGCCGGGGCCGATGTAACAAGTTGCGAGAATCATAATCACGATAATTATTTTGAATTAGGTACGTGCTTCTAGGTATTCTAGCCGTGTCTGTGGTGTAACCTGTGTTTTGCGAAGGCTGAAAGACACTGAAAGGTGACTGCACTTTCGCCTAGTGTTGGAAAGTTGTATCGTTTGTGGGGAAACTTCTTCGTGAAAGTTTAATCTGCCGTTAGACTTAAAAAGTAATAGATAGTTCCTACACTATATTTAATATTTCAAATACAGATAATTACAGCTTACATTTTAATGCTTTAATCATTCACTATAGTATTTTATATAACATGTCTTCAGACTTATTTAAATTTTTAAGTTACATTTTAAAGTAGGTATGTTTTATAGTGTCTTATTTTATTGTTAGTAGTGGTACCAAACCAACCAAACACTTAAAAGGAAATATAATACAAAATGTAAACGAAATTACTATTCTGCTCTTTTCTAATTTGCAATATAACGTACTCATATAATTTTTAATTTTCATGGTGAAAATGCCTTGGTAACCTCTTTGGTGATAATTTCAATGGCTTTGCTTGATGAAAGTGACGTTGCATTTTTGTACGTATCATGTCATTACACTCTACCTACGCGAGTAATAGTGGATATAATTAGTAATAACTAGCTCATGCCCGCGACTTCGTCGCCGTTAATTTAGAAATTAGGTCATACTTTATAACCCCGTTTTAATTCTTTGGGAGTTGAATTTAAAAATTTCCTCTCCTATTCCTTGAACGTCATAATGGGACTCTCTGGGTGTAAGTATTAGGTCAGTGCGTAAATAAGAATGCATCTCAATTTTCAGCTCCTAACAAGTTAGTTTTGGGAAAATCATGAATCACTGCACTTATTTTGTTTATTGTTCTTTAGGTATAGTTACTTTAAGCAAGATTTGAAACGCAATATTATGAACCTCAATTTTAGCCCTTTAGGGGTTAAATTTCAAAATGTACTTTATTTCTTGTCAACGTCATAAGGGTAACCTTGTGCAAAAATTACGCTTTCTAGGTACAACACTCAGGCAGGCAAGGAGTCAATCAGTCAGCCTTTGTCATTTTATTATTAGAAGGTTTACTACACACGTATTATTTTTGGATATCATCTATACTGACTTAATTATAATAAATGTGAAAGTAACTTTGTTTGTCTGCTTTCACACTTAAGCCGTTAAACCGGTTTTGATGAATTTTGATAAAGGGTATTATGAAAACGGAGGTAGGCCCTAAGAGGATTACTTTGTTTTGTCGCGGAAAATCAAACTTGAAGTGGTTAAAGTTTTGATGGAAAATCAATGAATTTACGCAAACAAAATCGGACGGAAAAACCTGCTATTACTACATAGATATTTTCTATTTTACAATGATATATAAAATGTTTTTACAATGATGATAAAAAAATAAAATTTCCTTTTATATTTGTTGTTGTTTGTGAGTGTTCAGCGCGTATCTTCTCTTTTTGTTTTAATTTAAGTATAGAACAGAAATCATTTTATCTGGGTTCAGCGCTTTTCGCGAATGATACTTGAATAGATAGTGGATATGCTGGTTTCTAAGCTACAGGCTAAAATGAGTTTAAAAAATATTTCAATCTTGGTATGGGGTTTGCGCAAGTATTTTAGGTACATCAGACACATAGAGGTGCGGTGGCAATTTTGCGGCCTTTTGATACTCTTTTTAAATATCTGCCTAGTCTAATACGGAGTATATAGTATTTTACTAAGCGTTTATAAAATGGCGATATAAGATTTTTGGCAATTCAGTATACGACATTATTAAGTCTACGTGAATGTTAGCAGATATGCTGATCTGTGTAAACTTTGTTTTTTAAAATATTCTAGAGGAACATAAAACTTGGTTTAATTAGAGACGATTGCATTCAGGTATGCAAACTAAAGTCATGCTTATCGTCAGTAAAAATATAGTTCATTGTGGCAGAAAATTTTTACCTTGGTAACAGTTTTGTATAATCGATGAACGTGAGGATTATATTCAAGCTTAGCGGAGGTTGGTAAGCATTTTGTTGTTATTTAATTTTTAAACCGTGGTTGTTAAACATACATACAACTATCAGCAATTATTCTATATATTAGTCTGTACTTTAGAAAAACTTTATGTTTTCTTTTATGATTTATTTTTGCAATTGATCTTTAAACTGCGTAGTCTATTATTATGTTGGTGCGTCCATAGATTTAGTGCTGTCAGCTTGTTATAGTAGTCGTCATAGCTAGATGAGATAGGAAACCTAATCGACACAAAAGAAGTACCTAATTAAACGTAGACTAGTTATAACAGTGTTTTGTCACCACTTAAATGACATTTTTAATTCGACGAAAAGACAAAACTTTGCCTAACAATTAGTTATTATTCTGAAGCGTAACTAGTCTATTCTTCGTTTATTAAAGAGGGATAGAGAACAGGTTGCAACTACTGCCACCACTAATTACTAAATTACTCCGTGGTATTTGTGTATGTGTTATTTGCGTTAACCTTAGGTTTTACCATATTAGGACAACACTTTGCCTAACAATTAGTTATTATTCTGAAGCGTAACTAGTCTATTCTTCGTTTATTAAAGAGGGATAGAGAACAGGTGGTAACTACTGCCACCACTAATTACTAAATTACTCCGTGGTATTTGTGTATGTGTTATTTGCTTTACCCTTAGGTTTTACCATATTAGTTCAATGATAGTAGGTAGACATTAGGTATGTTAGAGAAGCCATAAAATGACTTCCAATTTCCTGACTTGGCAAACTGTCTTTTTATTCGTATATTTATTTAGAAATATAAATAACACAATATTTATAGTGAAAATATGTCATTAGTTTGCACTATCTTTAGGCAGCCGGTACACAATCAATCGCGATCTAAATCAATGATCACGATCCAGATTGATAATGAACGAAGTAGATTGACGGATTGATGCATCTAATTTCAAATTTATCTAGATATTTTGAAATCAAGATAGTGATCCACTGATCATGATCAAAATGAAACTTGTAAGCGCAAGATCGCGTAGTAAAGTTATGTTAGTGCAAGACTTTCTTCAGGTGTTAACTATACTTTTCCTCATACAAGTATCTTGTTAAAATATATAAAGGAGTTATAATTTTGTAAGTCATCGAAACATTTTCCCCCATCCTGAAGTAGTTTTTATAATAGTCAGATTAAGCAGTTAGTTGAATTTTATTAAGTAGATTTAAATAAGAACAATTATTTTTTTAGGAACCACTTAACCCAAGCGCCTTCTTCGAATTATTTTATTTAGAGTTAAGGTCAAAACAAGGGATAATATAGCTTTGATGTAAATATATGGCAACTGGCAACACGTGTTAACGTGACAGATACTATACACGGAATGAAGAAATCAAGTTTGTCCATGACGCGGTTCAGTGATTAGAGCTCAACGATCAAGATCGGGATTAAGAGTGAGAGTCTTGTTTCTTTTTCACTTTAAAATTGAAGTTGATATGGTTAAGAGATTCAAAAATTTAATATTATGCATATAACTTAACGAACTAAACTTTATTCATATCATCCGGTAGGATTTATCAGAATTAACACACCAGTCCCCGTAGGATGAGGATCACAATTGACATATTTTTTACCGCGTCTAACTGTCAAACTCCATAGTAAATTGACAATTAAGCGTGATAAAAACGTATTATATATCATATCGCGGTGCTTATGCTAGGGGGCAGGAATATTGTTCCTTATCGAAACTAAGAGACTTGGGCCAGATAGCTTTGATGTAAATATATGGCAACTGGCAACACGTGTGAACGTGACAGATACTATACACGGAATGAAGAAATCAAGTTTGTCCATGACGCGGTTCAGTGATTAGAGCTCAACGATCAAGATCGGGATTAAGAGTGAGATTCTTGTTTCTTTTTCACTTTAAAATTGAAGTTGATATGGTTAAGAGATTCAAAAATTTAATATTATGCATATAACTTAACGAACTAAACTTTATTCATATCATCCGGTAGGATTTATCAGAATTAACACACCAGTCCCTGTAGGATGAGGATCACAATTGACATATTTTTTACCGCGTCTAACTGTCAAACTCCATAGTAAATTGACAATTAAGCGTGATAAAAACGAATTATATATCATATCGCGGTGCTTATGCTAGGGGGCAGGAATATTGTTCCTTATCGAAACTAAGAGACTTGGGCCAGAGGATTGTTAACTGAAAAACAAGTTTGATCTACGTAAGCATTATATAATTGCATGATGAATACCTGAATTTATGCATGTCTTAACTCTTGAGACGTTGACAGAGCGTCCTTAGGTATTCTCACGAGTCACAGGTACAATTGAATGCTATTTTTGCAACGCTATATTAGTTTAAACCTTTTGAAATGTCTCTTTAGCCAGCTAGATTAGAATCATCAAAGGTTTATTTTTCCAATTATGGACTGTATAATCCGGAGTATTGTTTGCAAATAACTCATACTTTATACGTTAGTCGAAAGACGCTTTAAGGTGATTGGCCGTCCCTTGGTACCGGGTGGTCCGGATCGATTTCCTAGTCTGCTCGACTTATTGTCTGGTGCCACTCATCAATGAAACTTACTTCAAACCGTACATATTCACAGCTTAAACTCAGATGTTGATGGAAGAGGAGAAAACATGATTGTATACGACTACATTCAAATTGCCTAAATTCCCAGGTGACTCAGATTATGGACACTCAAATGACAATGACTGAATGACTATTGTAGTTACTATTTTTGTTTTCATGAAGGTCAAGGACCTCTACATTATTTTACGCAGTAAACAGTTATTTCATTTCTGCTTATTTAACTGATGTTGATCAACTTGCACTAAAAGTCCGAATTTAATGTTACCTTCAGGCGTTACCGATTTTGGGGATTTATTTCCAAGGGTTTTCGCTATAGCCTATAGGGTGTGACACAAAAGTATAAATATAACAATAATAGTAAAGGCCCTATCACTATCAGTATTACACGTAAGGGTGTAGCCTACTTTGTTAAAAACACACAATTGCTTATTTTGTCACTGTAACTATTTTTGTTTAGTTATTGCATGACTTTATTTGGACATTCTTATAGTATTCAATGTTAATATTTTCTACTTAAATGTCTTGTTGAACAAACTTTCTGTTTTATTGATAAAACTTATAATTAATTATTATCAATATTATGTCTATTTTGTTTTCCTAATGCACATGACAATGAAATAGATTTTGCATTACAATCTAAGTAATTCACTTTGGTGCAAACCCGTCACTTTTAAAGGGAGTGTGTAAAATATTGATCGATATTCCAACGGGTTTAGAGCCCGAATATAGGTCAACAGTATACATCATTACTTATGTTTAAGGTCTTCAAAATGGGACGAAAGGTGACTGTGGCAGTATGTACATTAAATCAATGGGCATTGGATTTTGAGGGAAATCTTAGCAGAATTCTGCAATCTATACAGGAGGCTAAAGAATTGGGTGCATCATATCGCACGGGGCCAGAACTAGAGATTTGGTAAGTATTAACTCGCTGTTTAAATCATGGTCTCAAATGACTTAAAAATCGAGCATTCTTACCTAAGGTATATCGAATCAAGTTAATTAAATATATAGCTACCCTGAAGTGGCTTACAAAATTACATGAAGATTACGATTGACGACCTTTCTTGGCACGAGTGGTACCTATGTACACGACACATATATGTATATTTATTTTTTTGGTTTTTTGCAAATTATTTAAATAATGAGAGTATAATGAAAGAAACAGGACGCAAAAAAACGATTTTATTAGTAGGTACCTACTACGCGTTCGCTTCGAGTTGTCCGCTCCCACCCTACCCGCCTCACCGCACCGCGCTCCTAGACAGATCCTATTTGTCGATGCTATTGGTCGACTTCACTAGGTGATGTGCCTTTGATACATTTTGTAACGGTCATCGATGGGCAACTCGAAGCGAACGATTAGTACTCTTTTTCTATATTTTCCTGTTATATAAACCTAGTTTTATTTTTCTGACTAATTATGTTTATGATTTCTAGCGGTTACAGTTGTGAGGACCACTTTCACGAGTCCGACACGTATCTTCACAGTTGGCAAGTCCTAGCAGAGTTGCTTAAATCGCCGACATGCAAAGATATTCTAATCGATGTCGGTATGCCAGTGCAGCACAGAAATGTTGCTTACAATTGTAGAGTAGCATTTCTGAACAAGAAGATCTTACTTATTAGGCCGAAGATGATGCTGTGCGAAGACGGAAACTATAGAGAGTCTCGGTGGTTTTCACCTTGGACCAAAGTATGTGTTTCTCAACATATGAAATGTTTTCTTCTTTAAGTTAGTGAATTACAATTCAGATAAGGATTGAATAGAACAGTAAAATTGAAATTTACCAAGTTTTTCCAATAATACAAAACTTAACTAATACCTAGGTATTTCGAAACGTTAAGTTCTTACTCAAGTCATCGAGATGTATTAAATATATATTTCTTAAAGCTATATTAGAGTTATACTAACATTATTTAATGTGACTGTATTTATTCTAAGGCGTGTGGAATGATGTCGCATTTTCAGTAGACTATTTTCTCAGGAAAGACAAATTGAAGATTACTATTTGCCAAGAATGATAACAGCTATAACAGACCAGACTACAGTTCCACTGGGCGATGCTGTTATTTCAACTAAGGATACTTGCATAGGGTTTGAAATATGTGAAGAACTGTGGAATCCACAAAGGTTAATTTCCTTTAAATGATTATTAGCAAAAAGGTTGCGTTTACCATTTGAGGTGTTTATTGTTTTCATTTATTTTTCTCTTTTTCAGTCGCCACATTCCTCTTAGTCTTGATGGTGTAGAGATAATATCTAATGGTTCCGGTAGTTACATGGAGTTACGAAAAGCTTACGTTACAGTAGATTTGGTCAAGAGTGCAACTTTCAAGAGTGGCGGTGCCTATTTGTTCAGCAACTTGCGAGGCTGCGACGGCCAAAGAATATATTTTAATGGGTGTTCGTGTGTTGCTGTCAATGGAAGCATTGTTAGCAGAGGGCTCCAGTTTGCGTTGCACGATGTGGTATAAACATAATTAAATTTGACTTGATATTTTCAAAGATATTCCTGGTATGAACTGTAAAAAGTGTCATAAGTTCATCTTAGTGTCTTCGAAGACCCTTAGCCTCGCTTAAAATTTAAACATAACAATAGCAAGTATGTTATATAAATGACGATGGGCAAAAACACCCAGCTCCTCCAGCAATATAATTAGTATGAATCGAAAGATCTCTGAAAAATTAGCCTTTTTTATTATGACACCGTGAAAAAATGTCCTGGTGATCGGAAGATATATGAGATATGGAAAAACGCATGGGCATATTTTAGTAGCTTTAATTCATTTTATATTATTAGTAGCCATAATAATGTGAGTCATATCGTACTATACAACCAGATATACGACAAAGCCTGCCAACCATCCCGCCCATGCACTTACTGAGACGCCTCATAACGGTTTACAGGGTAAGGGTACGAGGGTTGATGGACTTGCAGTTGCAGTTGCAACTAGTCGACTCATATGCATATCCTTCGTCTTACTTCATTGTGATTGTGCGGTCCCTGCTACTTGGTTGATTTTTAACTAACACACTTTGGATATTGGAACACGATTATCGACTTTGTAAATTGGTTTTGATGAACTAGAATCACGTTTAATCCGAGGCTTGGACAAGTTTTTGTAATTGTAGTTGCTCAAATTTACCGTCTAAGCACTATTACACCTGTATATTAATAAAAGAAGACGAGAACGAAATAAATTCGTTGAGACATTATTACTGCTCATACAAAACGGGAAATTGCACTTTAGGCTACTGTGCCCATGTCATGGTGGTCACATGGTTTTTAGGTCTTGCAAGACATGAACAGAATATTCGCAGACCAGCTCTCTTCTTGGACACTGTGATATTTTAAATGAAATTAATGTTTCATAATTAATTCCCTTGTTTCATTAACGTTCGTTTGTTATAGTATGTACTTGTACCTATTTAACTTAAAATAACTAAAGACCCCGGGATGGAATTGGATGCGCTTTGGCACAGATTCTCATGATTATAATACCTTTCAAACAAATGTAGTTTAAGCAGTGGCGGACGTGGGTGCAGCGTCCATACATTCTTGCCCAATGTTCTTTTTCAAATAGAATTTTGGAACAAATTTGATTTCACTATTGTTTTATCAAACATATTTGGAATTATATTTATAAAGATGCAACAAAATATATTTCAGGAAGTGATAGCTGCTACAATAGATCTGGAAGATATACGTTCGTACAGAACTCAGATACGGTCTCGGTCCCATTTAGCAGCATCCAACAAACCCTTCCCACGAATCACTGTGGACTTCGCTCTATCTGATGATGAAGATCTCAATTTGATAATCAGCCCACCTGTGGAGTGGAAATACCTGACGCCGGAGGAAGAAATCGAGTTAGGTATATGTAGTGATATCAACATTTCAAAACTGCTTATGAGGGGTGTCGCCTATTCAGAAGTACATGTAAATAATCCGTGGTGTCGATATTTATTCCGAGATCTATGCCCTAGCCATAACCCAACATGCGGGCTCAGTGCGGATTGGTGAGAAGACGTAGATGCTGGAGATAGTAAATTTTGGGTAATCCATCTTATGACTGTCCATTGTAGAAGTTGCTCATTCTCCACAATCGTAGACCGAACATCCTAACACTTTCATCATCGGGACCTTCATTAGGTATGTGTATTTCAGGACCAGCCTGTTGGCTCTGGGACTACCTAAGACGTTCAGGACAAGGCGGATTCTTCTTACCCTTGAGCGGTGGCGTTGATTCCACTAGCACTGCTTGCATAGTGTTCTCAATGTGCACCCAAATCTGCGACGCCATACAAAAAGGAGGTAACTTTTCTTTTTTACTATATCGTATTCATTTGGAAGTAAAAAAGACTTAAGTACCTATATTTTTCAAAATGTGGTCTCTAAAGATATTAGCTTTGTTATTTCAGAGATTAATCATACTTTTCTTATTACTAATTCATTAATTATTGTCACAAATTTTAAATTGCTAAACAGACAGAGAACTGAAGCTTTTTGTTTTGCAGCTTACATTGCAAAACAAAAAGATTCAGTTCTCTGTCTGTCGTTTGAATCTAGATACATAGAAATGCAAAGTGAATGATACCGTGTGTACCCAAAATTGTGTGTCGCGAATTGAAGGACTGAGTACACGAAATGGGATGTCTGCGATACAGTAAGGTTTTCTAAAAAAAAACTCTGTACTTAATTCAATTTCATATCTTCACTTTTTACTTTTACAGGCACTTAAGAGCCCTTTCACATTTTTTCCAAAAAATCGTAAATTTTGAGCGCCTCGTTTACCCCCTTAGAAAAGATCTTGACTATTTCCAATAGAAGTAAACAGTAGATTTATTCTTCCTATTGTAAGTTAATATTTGTAAAGTAAAGTAGAATATTTGTAAATACTATTTTCCTTTTTTTGTACTGATCGTTCAACTGCAGTTAGTTTACGGAAAAAACGATATGCACAACTTCAAACGCCTCAATCTCTCAATAATGTTCAATAAATTAGATCAAATTAATTACTACGACATCAGAAATATGTTTTTATTGTAACATAATGTATTAGAATTTTGATTTTCCATCTTATTAATTATCAAAAAAAAAAAACATCTAACCTCCGTGAGTTTTCCCAAAAAATAATGCAGGTTTACCTCGTATTTTGATATTGAATTAAATAGAAGTACTATCAAAAACTTTCATAAAACTAATCTACCATTATTGAACTACTGAAATATGTATATATTTTTATAATTAGTTCATTTGATTATTTTATAAGACTCGAAACATCACCCGTAAAATGCAATATATACTAGTGCAAATTACCTACGCGCCGATCAGTATGGCAGCGGCGCAATTTTGTAAAAGGGCTCTTAATGAATGTAGAAAACTACTCCATCGGTTCGCTAATATGTCTCTAGGTCGAATCTAACCCTAGACAAAGCTCTGAAATAACTTAGGTCATATAACAGTAACTTTTAAATTTTAGCTCATACATTATTTTACTGACCTATATTTTAATTTCAGAAAGCCAGGTTTTGTACGATGTTCGGAAAATTCTCTGCCAGTCGGATTACACGCCCTCAGATCCGATGGAGCTATGTAATAGGCTACTCGTCACGTGTTACATGGCTTCTGAGAACTCGAGCCAGGAAACAAAACAGAGAGCTTCACAGGTATCTCACATCTACCTAATACCTATCAAAAATTTATTATACACTCACATGTCATTCAGAAAGTCAAAAAGAAGTGTCTAATTTTTGAATTCAATAATGACTTGGGATTTTTGTTTGACGACAGTGGGATTGTATTTAATATTTTTTTTACTTTTATTAATATGAAAATTAAATTCGCTTCTACTCTCATTCATAAAAACGGAACAATAAAGATCCACGCTCTAATTAAGCGTGCAAAGGATTTTAATCTTAATCTTGATAACGAAAATGACTTTTTTTTTGTTTGAATAAGAATTATTCTTTCATATATTTTTAACGTGAAACTTGTGATTGTATAATTATTTTGATTTCTACTTTATTATGAAATAGCTAACAACTTGATTGAAACAAAATTCATAAATTATTACTTCCAGCTAGCAAGTGAAATTGGCAGCTACCATTTTCCAATAGTAATAGACGCAGCTGTCAGTGCCGTTATAGGTATATTTACGACTGCTACTAGCCTAGTGCCCAAGTTTAGGGCGAAAGGTGGTTGTCCAAGACAAAATCTGGCACTGCAAAACATACAGGTAAACAGTCAATATTGAAGTATACCTTTTTTGTTGTGATAATCGATTTTAAAATTAGTCATAGATCGTGTTTCCAAACCTAATGTAATCGGATTTTGGTTTTGCTGTGACAGTTAATTTGCCAATCTTTGATTAATAAAAAATATTAATCTCCTGTAGAAAATACTCATTTCATGCCTTTTTATTTTACTAGTAAAATATGTTGAAGAAAAGATGTAATTTTAAGAATTAAGGCGCAATGACACTTAGTTGTTAGCTCGTATACGATTGCCTGTGGAATTCGGATAAACGACTAAGGGCTGTCCACTAGTGACAGTTAATTTGCCAATCTTTGATTAATAAAAAATATTAATCTCCTGTAGAAAATACTCATTTCATGCCTTTTTATTTTACTAGTAAAATATGTTGAAGAAAAGATGTAATTTTAAGAATTAAGGCGCAATGACACTTAGTTGTTAGCTCGTATACGATTGCCTGTGGAATTCGGATAAACGACTAAGGGCTGTCCACTAATCACGTGAGGCCCAAGGGGGGGGGGAGGGGTCCATAAAAATCACGAAATATCACAGGGCTGTAGTAATATATCACGAGTATTTCCGTGGTCCGAGAATACTGTACATTAAATAATGTTCATGTATTAGTACAAAAAAGGTTTTCGCGTTTCTTTTATTATTTTTATGACCGTCAAAAACAACTTGCAACCTTTCTGTCGTAATAACTAAGTAAGTTATTATTGGTAGTCTTTTAATTTTGTGTAATTAAAATTAGATGATACGTATACCTGTATTTTATAAAGATAAGAAAAATATTTAGGTATTGAAGGTAGTAAAAAATACACGTGATATAGGGGTAGGGCGGGATAGTCTTATACCTCACCACGTATCACCAAGGGGGAGGGAGGGGTTAAAAAATGCCAAAAAAATCATCACGTGATTAATGGATGGCTCCTAAGTGTAAACCAACGGAGTCGACCACACCCGTATTCGAACCATAGAGGTATAAGAATTGAGTGGGTAAGGTGGCTCTAAAAGTGTCCGTCTAGTAGAAAGAGAAAGAAGATGAGAGATCGCTAGCTATATCTATCTCTCTTGTGATGCATGGCATCCAATGGCATCACAACGTAATAGTAAGATGCTTACGGTTGCCAATGCGCATGCGCTATTAGAGAGAGAAAGCTAGCGGTCTCTCATCTTCTTTCTCTTTCTATTAGAGAGACACCTCCACTTGTAGTAGAGTCTATATCTCCCCTACTCTATTCTTATACCTCTATGATTCGAACAGCTTTTGTTTTGTTTAACCGACGCCATTTTCTTTTCCATTTTGTCCTTATAATATCCCCCCAAAATGCTTTTTCCCAAATTTGAGGGAATCCCGCCAATATGGCATAACTGAGGTATGTATATTCTAACGAGAACGCGGTCACAGGGTCGTTTGCCCGAGTTCCTGTGACCGAATGTGAGTATTAAAAACTATTGCATCGGGTGCCCGAAATCAAAAAACGTCTTTCGTGCACCCGAATACATATTAACGTCCAAGTTTAATTGCGCTCTAATGTAAGAAAAAAAAAACAATCAATCAAGAATGATGATCAGCAATGTAATTGGTTCGAATAAGTATCGTTCATTTTAACTTGTTACAGTATAGAATAGAAATCAATTCTCCAACTATTAAGTAGGTTTATATTGCTTTCAGGCGCGACTCCGAATGGTTTTATCTTACTTGTTTGCCCAATTAATGTTGTGGGTGCGAGGCAGGCCGGGTGGTCTGCTTGTGTTGGGGTCGTCCAACGTGGACGAGGCCCTTAGAGGCTATATGACAAAGTACGACTGCTCTAGTGCTGATGTCAATCCTATTGGAGGAATATCGAAGACTGATCTCAAAGCTTTCCTCCAATACGCCAAGAATCGGTAAGCAAGCAAAATAACTTTGTTTTTCTTAAAATGGCGCCCTTAATCTGCTATCTTGAGTTTTATTGAGAGTTGAGTTTCTACCGATACCATAAATATTTGTTATCTTCAATATTTGTTAAATAGCCATAAGTCACAACTGACATCAATCTATATATTCATCTGTGTTCGTCTGTCTGTAACCTTCCCGCTTACACCGCTTAACCGATTTAGATGTAATTCGTATCATAAAGAGATAGTTTGAGTCCAGTCCTCTTAACATGAGCACCACAAATTACATGTTACACGTTTTTTATCTCATCTAACTGTCAAACTTCAAAGTAATTTGACAATTGAGCGTGATGAAAGCTAAATATATATCATGTCGATATCGCAATAGATCGTTTTTATCCCAGAAAGCATTCTAAAACGTGGTGAAACAGGGGTTGGAGGTTTTTTAAGAACCTAATTATTCCACGCAGACACTGGCAAGTCATTTACTAAAACACTTTGAACGGGTATTATGCGATCTGTTGACTTTATACAATATCCTTAACGTTTTTCTATATTTTAGATTCTTCTTACCCTCTCTATCTGAGATACTTCAAGCACCACCCACAGCGGAATTGGAACCCCTGACTGACGGTCAAATTACTCAGACTGACGAACAAGACATGGGGATGACGTACGCAGAGCTATCAGAGTTCGGTCGTTTACGGAAGACGAATCATTGCGGCCCGTACAGCATGTTCAATAAACTGGTACATACGTGGAGCAATAAGTGCACGCCGCAAGAGGTAACGTATTTATTATACAGGCAGTCCTCGACTTACGTCGTTTCAGGTTACGTCGAACAATGTTTTGACACTATTCGCCAAGCATACGTCAATTGTTTCGATTTCCGGCATAGGAGAATTCACTTGTCGCTTGTTGTGGTCAATATCAGTGGGGCCGTTGTCCGTGGAGATGTCTCGACTTACGTCGTTTCGATTTACGTTGCGTATTTTGAGAACCTAATATACCGTAAGTACGAGGACTGCCTGTATACTTTTATTTTGCTTTTCCATTAGGAAGGTTAAAGAAACTTAATAGGACCATTCAGTCATGTTTTAAGCATGTTATAATATCTTACGTTTTTCTCACTTCTTGGATAAGTTGGCTTGAATGTATCGAGTCAGTTTTCTTGTGAACTTCCGTGATATATTTCTTATTTCAAAAAAAATCATTCGTTATTTAAAGATTCCAATGATTATTTAAAATTATATTTTAAGCATTTAGCTGCTGCATTTTATGAATGTAAAGAAAATTTTACTAGAAAAAATTCTGTGCTGCCCAGGCGTAAGACAGGATACGAACCTGCATCTTCCGCTATCCGGATGGAATCTTGTCTGATGTCTAAACTGAGTGGAATTTATATGTAGTAAAATTTTCTTTAGATTCCATTCATTGTTCAGTTTCGTAGACGTTTAAAACACTTAAGCTGTAGCAACGCAAGGGGTTTTTTTTATCTTAGAAGGGTGGCGAGCAAGCGTATAGCCCGCCTGATGGTAAGCGGCCACCATAAGCTATAGACGCTTTCGATATCATCATCAGCCTATTAATGTCCCCACTGTTGGGGCACAGGCCTTCTCTATGGAGGGAATAGGGAGATTGGGCCATGACCCACCACGCGGTCCCAGTACCCAGCACCCGCGGATTGGCGGGTGCTAACGACTGCAGATGCAGCCGGGACCGACGGCTTAACGTGCCTTCCGAAGCACGGAGGAACTTGAGATAAAAGATTTTTGGTCACCCATCCAATGACCGACCACTGCGAAAGTTGCTTAAATTCAACGATCGCAGCCGAACGCGTTAACCACCCGCGCCATCGAGCTCCTCATATCTCTCTTTCGATATCAATATCAAAATATCACTCGCGCCGTTACTTACCCTGATCCAATCTCTACCCCGTGGAACCCTGGAACCTTACTTCGCCAGAAACACAAAACTACCAAAAAGTTGTGTTATTTTACTGTAGTCTTCTGTAAGGTAGAGGTTACTTCCCCAGACGGGCGGCGCTGTAATTCGAGCGTAGAATCCGCTACAGCCTATCTCTCTTATGGCTCCTCTTCACAATGACCCATGATGGGTGATTATAAACACTAACAATTGTGTAGAGGGTAAAATCGTCCTTGGTGGCCATCACCGCCTGTAGTCGTGAGTAATCGGCAAATTGTCGGTACCTCACAGGGATGCATGCCGATGATGATATGCGCGTATACACAATTGCCCATTATTCAGTAAATCAAACCCACAGTGTGCTAAGTTGTATGGAAGCTCCTTTGGGCTAATAATGGGCTCAATCCGCAGTGGACCCAATTTGTACTGGGTTCAATCCGCACTGGGCTCATTCTGGATTGTTTTGATTCAATAGGGATATTGGGTCCTGAGTTGCCACGCAGGCCCAATGCGGATTGGTGGGTGGTATAAATATTTTTAACTTTACTCCCGAGTGTTGCAAACAAGTTAAACATTCGAGCTCATGCCCCTCACCGTAATTACGTCCCTGAATTTGTAAATAGTTAGGTACCAGGTTCGGCAGTGGAGTAGTCTTTGTCGGAACATGTGAAAAAATAGATTTTTATATGATGGTCGATTTCAATCATCCGAGGGCCTGTTCTAGGGCCTAGAACTATATAGAGTACAAAGATTTCCAGGAGGCTCCGCTAGACATACCTTACTACCGCGTAACTACATTGATATAAACTGTAAATTTTGATATATCAAATCCGATTGTACTGATTTATTATACCCAATAACTGGCTAAAGATCATAATCACCTGTAAAGGTCATTTTCTTTATTTCAAATGACAATATTCACATTAAGTTTATATCAATGTAGTTACTCAGTAGACCTCCTGGCTCCGTAGTTTAATCACCAAAATTACATAATATCGTATAATTTATCTCGTCTAACTGTTAAAAGCTAAAGTAAATTTGTTTTTTTTACCTTCTTATGTCTAAGGCCAATAAATGCGCGTGATAAAAACGAGATATCTATCATAACGATATTTTGGCTTAGTAGGTTTTATGAAATTCAAATTCGTAAGTTTACTATGGAAGTGGCGAAATATTTACTAGCTTTTCCGCATAACGACAACTTTACCGATCACTTGTTTTAGGTGGCCGAAAAGGTGAAGCACTTCTTCCGATGCTATGCTATCAACAGGCACAAGATGACGGTTCTAACACCCTCTTACCACGCGGAGACGTATAGCCCCGACGATAACCGCTACGATCACCGGCCGTTCCTGTACCGAGTTCATTGGAACTGGCAGTTCAAGGCCATCGACGATGCAGTGAGTTTTCTTATTTTCCCATGCTGTGCTATCAACAGGCACAAGATGACGGTCCTAACCACAGAACCCAGAAAAAGGTTAGAAGGGTGATAAGCGATCGCCAGTATGAGAAACGATGTCGCCGGCTCGCCCCCACTACACTTCCACCTAAAACATAATAAGCCAATCAAACGACGCGACATCAAGCAACCGAACGAATCAGCGTTCACAGCCGTGACTGTGAGCGTTCATTCGTTCACACCGATTTTAGCGCTAGTGGTGGACACTGAGTCGATGAAATATTATCGATATATATAAACAATATAATTATATTTATGAAAAATGTGACGCTTTGTTTCTTGTTTAAAGTTATTTTTCAAAAGAAATATAGACGAATTGAAAAATATATAAATATATATATATACAGTGGATCCCCGGTAGTCCGACAAACATTTTGCAGGGCAGTGTCGAACTATCGAATTTGTCGGATTATAGAGTACTACCTAAGACCCCCTATAGTCCGATTTTTTTTACAAAAGAGTACCTTGTAATCCGACAAATTACAGATCCAATGATAAGATTACAAATCATACTTTGTTATGTATGTCAAATTTAGTAAATTAAACAACACAATAGAAAGATTACGTTTTATTATAAAAGTAACGTAATTAATGCTATAGAATTTACAAAAAAATATAAAAAATACCCTACGCATCGAGCACAATAGTGATGGTGCGTACAAGTTGTAACTTGTTCAATCGTGAATTAGCGAATACTTTATGTAATAGACGATGTCGGATTATAGCGGGTGCCGCATTAGCCAGGGGCCGGATTACCGGGGCTCCACTGTATATATATATTTCAATTACCACTTTAATTGAATCTGTTACTTGGTTAGATAATAAGAATTCACCGACTTGATGAATTGAATATCGATGGTAATATTGTTTATAACCCAAATGACATAGCTAATTCATTCAATAATTTTTTCATTGACCTAGTTAAACCTTTTACACCGGACATCAGACATAGTTTTAATCCACTGACATATAATAACCATAATTCTATTTTCATGAATCCTGTTACACCATTTGACATTAATTCTATTATATTATCCCTTAAAAATACTAAAAGTACTGGGTATGATGATATATCCACTAATGTTATTAAATATGTATCTTATGCTATTTCTCCAGTACTATGCCATATATTTAACGTATGCATTTCTCATGGTGTTTATCCTGAAAAATTAAAAAAGACTATTGTGAAACCTTTGTTCAAAAAACAAAACAGAGACATGATGTCCTGTTACAGACCTATTGCTCTAATACCAGTCATGTCAAAAATCTTTGAAAAAGTGATCTGTGATTGTCTTTATAGTTATTTTGAAAAATACAATATACTAGCAAACGAGCAGACAGGGTTTCGAAAGAATAAAAATATAAACATGGCTATACATAGGTTTATTGATGAAATAATGACTAAAGTTGACAAAAACATTCCTGTGTGCGCGTTATACATGGACCTAACAAAAGCATTTGATTACGTTGATCATAATATATTAAAATCTAAATTGATGAGTTATGGCATTAGAGGCAATGTCTTAGATTTATTAATGTCTTACTTAAGTAATAGAGAACAAGCAACTCTCATTACGAGAATATGCTCTAAATCAAAGCACGAAGTTAAATATGTGTCAAATTATAGACAGGTACAATATGGTGTACCTCAAGGCAGTGTTCTTGGGCCACCACTATTCTTAGCATATATTAACGACTTCCCCACAGTAGTAGCTTCACCAATGATACTGTTTGCTGATGACAGCACTGTAATTTTTTCAAATAAAAGTTTATCCCTGTTGCGAACTGACATAACTATGACACTTGACAAAATTGTAGACTGGTTAAAAAGAAATAATTTATTAATTAATATAGACAAAACTCATGTTATGACATTTCGAAATAGACCTAGAACTCCCATATCAATCGACGTTGAGCATTGTGGAAAGATTGTTAAGGAAGTGGACTTAATAAAGTTTTTAGGTATAACTGTTGATTGTAACCTTAACTGGAAAGCGCATATTGAGAGTGTTTGTGTTAAACTCAGTAAATTCTCCTATGTTCTATACATGCTCGGTAAGGTGGTTCATATATCAACAGTATTAATAGCGTATCATGCGAATGTAGCATCTACGTTACAGTATGGAGTAATATTTTGGGGGAACTCAGTTGACAAAGAATATGCATTTAAAGCTCAAAAAAAATGTATAAGGGCTATTTGTAAAATTAAGCAAACTGACAGTTGTAAACCGCATTTTATATCATTAAAACTTTTGACATTGCCGTGTATTTACATATATGAAATTGCTGTTTTTGTTAGAGCCAATTTACACTTATATGTTACTTTTAATAGTAGAAGATTCGAAACCAGACTTTGTTTACCATCTAACAAGACATGGCTTATGAATAATAGTGTACTTTGTATGGCACCTCAGGTATATAATAAAATTCCAATTGAAATTAGAAAAGCTGAAAGCCCCACCAATATATTTCGTTCTGAATTAAAGAATATGTTACTTAAAAAAGCATATTATAGTATTAAGGAATTCTTAGAGGACAAATCTGTGTAAATGGGTGTACACTATGTGTTTATTTTAATTTGCATGCCTTATGGTGAAATATGGAATAAGCGTACGTATTATAATTTAACACCTTTGTATCACCTGTATTTGCAAATAAATAATTGATTGATTGATTGATTGATTGATGAAATGATATGTCATTAAATAATGAAGTGCCAATATTTTTTTTTATATTTTTGGGACTAAATTTTCTTTTTTGACATTTTTCAAATTATCTGCATGTTGTCGTATTACAGTTTCTGCACTTTTGCATATTTTTATAACATCACTACGGACGGCTATATCAGGCCACCTTTATATTTTAACGAAATAGATTTATGTTAATTATTACTTGAATCTGATATTAGGGCTCCAGGGCAAATATCGTATTTGATTTTTTTAATTAGGACATGAACCACATTGCCTGCTATGTAGGCAATGACTTGTGTACTGAAATCAGTAAAATCTTCATCTTCATCCTCTTCGTTTTCAGATGGCTCTTTACAATTGTATGATCTACAATTCAGACCTATTTTCACGATAAAACTTACAGTTTTCGAGAAAAATGGGAAAAACCATAATTTTGTTCGTTTGACCTTGAATTTTTTTTTTGCGGAAGTAGGATGAATGGGATTTTTACACCACCATATTTCTGCACCACCTCTGAGGTAATGTACATGTCGGATTTTTTTCAACTTTGAATCCACCAAGTACATTACCTCATAGGTGGTGCAGAAATGTGTGCATAATATATAAAAAAATAATTTTCTAATTATTGAAACTGCGATTTCTCTCACGAATGGTGAGTCGTGAGAGAAAAAATGACCAGACCTTTTTTGTAGAGAATTGTATGGTCTACAACTTTTGTCTGACCTACTTTCACGACAAAACTTACCGTTTTCGAGAAAAATGGAAAAAAACAATTTTGTACGTTCGAGTTGCATAATTTTTTTTGCAGAAGTAGGATCGAAGCTGACTTTTTACATTTTATTTATAATGATGTATTTAACGCCTCTGGCAATTTTCAGCTCTATGCGAATTATTCCTAAGTCAAATATCTATTTTGACTGGACTTTAAACAAACTCTTCAGCTTTATATTTATATTTTACTAGCTGTATCTGCGGTATATTAGGCCGCAGTAAAACGTAGCCTATGTGTTAATCCAAGGTGTCAGCTAACTCCATACCAAATTTTATTAAAATCGCTCCAGCCGTTTGGACGTGAAGAAGTAAAAAATATACACACTCACAAACTTTAGCCTTTATAATATTAAGTATGATAAACATTTACAATCAGCTTTTATTTATCTCTTAAAGTTACTTTAATTCCATTATTAAGTGCTAAAATTCAGTCGATAAAATCTATCGAAAATGTAAAATGTACGACGCAAGACACCACTAAAGTAGGTGCAATGACCTTGTATTGCGTGCGGCCACGTGCAGCGCTCTGTGATCCACGTGTCAATCTTGCTCGAATCGTACTACATTACGCGTTTTGAATGTCGTAGAAAGAATAGCGAGCGTACTTTGTCAGCAATGAATATTTTTGTGGAAATATATATGTGTGTTTATACTTACCGATGAAAAGAAATTCCTGCTTTAGGTAGATTTGATGATTGACTCCTTACTTTGCAAGTAATTACGGCACACGAAGGTATATTTTAAGCGGTAATCACGATACTCTCTCACTGAGCGTTCGCGGGCAACTAAACGACGCGATCGGACGTTACAGTCAAGTTATGAGCATTTGCTCATAACTGTGACGCACCTGCCCCGCCCACAAGGCCATTCTAACCTCTTTCTGTGTTCTGTGGTCCTAACCCTCTTACCACGCGGTGACATACAGCCCCGAAGATAACCGCTACGGCCGTTCCTGTACCGAGTGCATTGCAGTTCACCCAAAACCGAAGAATGTTCTTTTTTCTAAAGTTTTTCCGATCCGAATCCGAATTTGAAACTAAATCAAATTTTTGGAATTTCAGAGATCCAGGGGTGGCGAGGAAGGGGTAAGGGTCAGCTAAAAAATCGAAAAAGAAAACTAAAATAATAAAAAAAATGTTAGATGTTAAGATATAATAAACTATCAAATACCCCGGATTCGTACGACAGTCGCTAATTCATGGTTTTAAATACTAGTAATCTGTGAAGCTCGATGGCGCAATGCACTAGCTTGGTCGGTCTGCGATCCATGATGCGAAGTTGAGTAACTTTCGCAATGGCCAGATAAAAAGAAGGGTCCTCCTTGCTTTGGAAGACATGCTAAACTGTGGGTCCCGATTGTATGCAGATACAATCGGGATCCACAGTGACTGCAATGACTGCAGAGTCACCATTCATTAATTATTTAGCACTAAACTATTTTTTTTTAACCATTAGCACCCATTAATGCGCAATTGGCTCACTTGATGTCTCATAGCCCAATAATAGGTTGATGAGGACTAATAACCTGACATTGCTTCGCTTCGGCGTAAACCTCGTTCTAATTTTCCATGAAAAATGTTCTTTTATGATAAAATTATTAATGATAAAAACCGCGTGGAAATCCGATTAGTAGTTTATTGCGATCATTGCGAACATACATAAAGGCAGATGCGGCAGCGGACTATGTTTTATAATGGGAATGATGACAGGGTAAAGTAAACAAAATTCTACTTAGCCCCTCAGTTCGATTATCAGAAAATAATATATTTTTTTTTGTTTTGTCAATCAGAAAAAAAAAATTGCAAAGATAAAGAGCATCATAGTTTGGGAGTGGGGCTCGTGATGTCACTTCGAAGTAAAAATTGGAACAAGATGTGACGTCATGCGATATTTCAAATCAATATAATGTTTCGATTATGCGAAAAAAAATATTTTGGATGGATGGATTTCTAATACGTTTTAATAGACTACCTAATGAACGAAAGAAACGTTACTATTTGCAGTGATTTTTATCCTTTAACTAGCTGACACAGCGTACTTCGTTCGTACTTACAATAATTTGGGAGAAATGATAAACAACGAACGTCAAATGTTTGACAGGAATATAGATAGAATTTATATGGAAAAATGAAATTGTATTTTTATTATCGAGGAGCTCGATGGCGGAGGAGCTCGATGGCGCAAGGGGTTTTAGCGCGTTTGGCTGCGATCGTTGAACTTAAGCAACTTTCGCAGTGGTCGGTCATTGGATGGGTGACCAAAAATTACTATCTCGAGCTCCTCCGTGCTTCGGAAGGCACGTTAAGCCGTTGGTCCCGGTTGCATCTGCAGTCGTTAGCACCCACCAATCCGCACTGGGCCCGCGTGGTGGGTCATGCCCCAATCTCCCTATTCCATCCATAGGAAAGGCCTGTGCCCCAGCAGTGGGGACATTAATTGGCTGATGATGATGATTTTTACTATCTTAAACAAACATTTTAAAACCAAATCTGCTAAATCAGCCCAGCCGTTTTCGAGTTTTAACGAAACTAACGAACAGCAATATATTTTTTGAACAGCATTTTTATTATGTTGCATACATTTTTAATATTGTTTTATATTTCAGGTTGCACAAATGACTAAAGATAAACGAGCGTCCACAAGGGAAGGCGATCGCTCACAAGTAAAACAAGATCTCGGTAAAATTAACAACGGTAGCGCTTCTGCACCCAGTGTGAATGCACCCCTGTATCTGCGCCGAAAGGGCGTACTGATATAACGTTATTCATTCCATTGTGATTTAGATTAACAGAATAAAGACGACAGACTTCCAAAGACATTACGGCCGCACTCAGAGAAGCTAATTAACTTTTAAGTTGGACTAAAGTAAATTTTCTCACTTACTCTGCAATAACAATAGAATGAGATATTACGTGACTTATTTGTCTCTGAGTACGGTTGTAAGGGCCACATGCATCAACATTCGAAATCTAATGTAAAGCCCCATTCCAACGAATGACAAATGTTTTAGAAGAACACGAACTGCCCTAAAGAGTGGTTTACACATAATTTGTTTTTTTGTATTGATATCCATTGGTCATATATATGATTGGATCGAAAAACCAGGCATTTTTTTACCTATTTCAAGCATTATTTGAGATTTTCCCTTTATTTAAGAACTTTGGTGCAAGCGGGCCATAGTCTTTAGACTATAGACAGTTTGCTAAATCACCAATATACTCATCGATTGTTTCGAAAAAACCACGTTCCGTACCATTAGCACGAACCAATATCGAATTCGTATCGTTTGCGAGAACGCAATTTCATTGTCAAATTTTGTATGGAAACTTGAACAGCAGCGCCACAAAGTACGTAATGAGAACTAAAAATCAGTACACATTTGACAAAGACATTTCGGATTCGCAAACGTTACGAATTCGATATTAGGGTACTGATCTCGCGACTATTTGCCGTACTGAGAGACATATTTTTTTTAATGTTATTTAAAATGACGTGCTGTATTATTCTAACCGTATCGCAAAAATGAGCACTAACCTTAAACTCACTTAAAGCTTATTTCATGTTTTTTGGTGCGGCCGTAATAGTCTAGCTAGATACACCGTACACGTAACTGCACGCACCTTACACCTAGCTTAGTAGCTACTAGCGGCCGCCCGCGACTTCGTACGCGTGGGGTTAGTTAGAAGTAAAGGTTCACTGCTCGTGCCCCGTAGGTGATAATGTGATAATATGTAGCTTATAAGTTGACCAGACTTAATACGACGACCTCCGTGGTCGAGTGATTAATACGCCGGGATTCATGGTGTCGCCAACTCGAGAGGTCCCGGGTTCGAATCCCGGTAGCGGAAGATGTTTATGTCATGAATACGAGCAATTTGTACTCCCGTCATGGCTGTTTAATATGTATTTCTATATAAATATACTTATATATGTACAATATATTATGTATTCTATCCGTTACCCTAGTATCCCATAACACAGTGATTACTTTGGGGCTAGGCTAATTGGTGTTAGTGTTGGAAATATTTACTTATTTATTTAATAATATTCGTGCCAAATTTGAAATAAATCCATGCGGTACTTTTTGAGTTTATCCCGGACATACATACAGACAAACAGGCAAAAATTCTAAAAACTATATTTTTGGCTTCGGTATCGATTGTAGATCAGACCCCAATTAATCTTTTAAAAAAAAATCAATGTACAGTTTTGACTTTACTACCATTTTATTATATGTATAGATAGTGGGTGTGTGCAATTACGTCAACTGCATTCAAACTAGCCAAATGTAGTCTACCTATCTAACGGCCATATTCAGAGATTAATTAAATGTGATGCTTATTAACTGCCAGTTTCAATAATAATCCGCTATTAAAAGGTAAGGATAATCTGGTTACGTTGCTTTAAAATAGTTGTTTTTCAGCTTTCTTGCCTAGATATTAATTGACTTCAATAATAACTGTTACTAAGAAACGGAACCAGATTATCCTTAAGCAACGACTTGTCTTATCTGCTGTTACCGCAAGGAATTGACATCATCAATTTGAATAAAACTCATAGATTATTTTTAATTTTATTGTTTACCTACACTCAGAGAGGACATTTATACTCTCGATGATCAATGTTCTGTTGAAACGCTTCCATTTATATTAACTTGTATTCGGCGATTCAAATTGCTATACAATGACTCTGCTATGAATGTGGGTCACACTTACGAACATCATCGAAGAAAAAAAAAACTGTACTAGTTTTTCATTGATGATGTGATGTGTGAAAATTATTTGAATTTTATTTAGTTCGTACTCACGTGCACGTGTTTTGTTTGTTATCCTTTTATTATGTCACTTAAAAGTTTCATGCGATGCTTACACTTGTATCTTCCTACATCTACGTGCATATTCGGAATTGCTCGCCCGTATTTCTGCCTCATAAAGTCATCGGCCTTTAAAGCTAGAGAGTTTACAAATTTATTATATATCTATCTCACTCTATTTTTATTGACAAAGTTTTTATAATGCTAAGGTGATACTGTAACTTTTCTACATCTGTCCTTATAAGAAATAACAAATTATGTATTACAGATCTGTTAACATCGTCGATTCATTTGTATGCTTTGAAATAAATAATGGATGAAGGCAGTGCCGAAAAACACACGCAGTTGTAATTACTTCCTTATGTTTTCACCTCACCTTATTGTTTGTATTTTGATTTGAACAATAGTCTTTAGTAATTTAATTGTATGTGATTTTGGTAAGAATAAACTATTGTAGATGTATTTTGTAAGCTTGCGTTATTTCGTTGATATTCCAAAGCTCGTATTTTATAAAAGCGAAACTTATTTTTTGATGCACTTTTGTAAGGCGATTGGGAGTCTAATTGTTTATACGTCAATGGATGGCTTTGATAGTTTTTGTTAAGGGCAACCTCTTTGCCAGCTAGCTGACTTTGTGCATGCAAAGAAATCCGAGTTTATGCAAAAAATTGCAAAACCATGAAGTCAAGACAATGGACAGGCGAGTTAGCTTGTCTATTGTCTTTGACTTTATGGTTTTGTCATTTTGGTTATTTTAGTCGAGTTTGCTGGGCACTTGTCCCACCGCCGACGATGAGCGAGAAGCGAGTCGAGCTAGAAACTAGAAACGAGTTATTGAGTAGCGGGAAGCAAGTGTGTAGTTTCGATAGTTATATCGCTAGACTAAAGCTGGGGATACACATGCCAGTAAAATCGGGAAAGTAGCTGCCATGAAAGTTACTAGCATGTACGAGTAACTGGTACACTTACGCGGATACATTTGCAAGTAATACTGGCATGCAAGTTGTGCCCTTGCATGCCAGTATTACCATCGCGTATACACAGGATAGTTCGTGAGAGTCACTCTTACCTACCTATTCTTGCGCGCCAAACATGGATAACTATCGAAGCGAATTAAACAGAATCGTGTTGTTACTAGCAATTAATTCAGATTTAATTCTTCTTGTATTTTGCTGTAGGCATTGTGGCACGTACTATTTTGTTTTTGTAAAGCGTGCTAGTCGGCTTCCAAAGACATTCGTATTCTCTATACAAATGAATGAACTGTATAGTTCTTTCATCTCCCCATCGTGCCATGATGAATAAAAAAAACCAAAAGAAAAAGTTGACCTCCGAACTCAAAACAAAAAACTTGCGCCTACGGCCACAACGAGTCGGCTACTGGCGTGCCCGTAGCTTTCGAGTCTGTTTACACGTGCCAGGTTAGCAGCCCCCCGCTTTCCCTCCCTCAACGGGCATGCAAGTAAATCAAATGTTGTGCTAGCTGCTTGTATGCCAATATAACAGGCATGCCAGTTTGCGTATACACATGACAGTAGCTGGCACGTGCAAGGAGCTGGTATGCTAGTGTGCAAGCTACGGGCATGTGTATCTCCAGCTTAAAAGCTAGTGCGCGAGTACTACTTGTGCCACTCGCTCGCGGAGACAATTTTGAGCAATAAAAATGCACGCTCGCGCGTTTGAGACAATCGAGCATAGCTGAGCGAGTATTGTCTTTGATAGCTCTTCTCACTTAGCGATAAACTAGTGGAGAGAGTTCTCGACGGCAGTGTGAACAGTCAGCAATCATCTACCTATGTATCTTTTTAGTTAACACGGAATGTATATTTTTGTACGTTTCTTGAGTGAGACGACGATAGTCGCTTCCTCGCCGCCGGCGGTGGGACCACTGTCTTAGTCCCATAGTCAAATACAATGGACTAAGTATAATTCGTATGGAATTGACAACTCACTAGAAAGAGTGAAAATGTAGTAGGTACGCGAGTGGTAGGTATGTACGCCACGTTTCAAGGTGAGGCCTACTCAGTGGGCCCGGGTTCGAATCCCGGTGGGGTAAATGTTTATATGATGAATACGAGCATTTTTATTAAAGTCATGGACATATGAGAATAATATGTATCAGTAAATTATGTTCTGTATCTATTACCTTAGTATCCCATAACACAGTTCTTACTTTGAGGCTAGGCCTTACTTAGCCTTGGTGTGAGTGTTAGAAATATTTATTTATTTTAATTACCTATACGAACTATTGGACAGGAAACGTTCAGTCTATTCTATGTCTATGGTTAGTTCTTATGCTCAGTTTTAACAATAAAGACTGCTTATAGCTTTGTTAAAATTTTGAAGAAATAGTTACAAGTGTGATATCTGCCATACAATTCGTTTTGCTCAAATTAAGTATTATTAAGTTCAAGATAAAGTAAATAAAAAACAGTTAAAGTATAAGATAGCACAGTGTCAAGTTCTTCCTATGTAGCCACTCAAGTTATTTCCGCTGATGAAGCCTGTCTAAATTGCTAATGCAAGTTCTGTTTTAAGAAGAAAGTGTTCGTTAAATAGGTACTTAATGCTTCTCTAAGTGTCACGGTCTAATTGTACAATTTTTGTGTAAATCTTTTTTGTAAACTGGATAGATTATGAATAGTTGCAAACTAACGCATCCGTTTTGTAAGTGTCTGAAATGACAAGGTCTAGTCGTTGAGTTGTAACTTCGTTTGACGAAATGCTGAGATCGCATTGATTAGATAAGCGTGTGACCTTAACAATAACCTAAATAGCGCGTATTATTAAATAAATTTTGCATTAAAATCTGTGTTATGCAAATGACAAATAAACAACATTATATTTTACGGACAATGAGTGAGTGGTTCTATGGTTAAGATAAAACTCGGTTTACTTCAAAAATTAACTTTGTTTAATAGACAGAACCACATCACAAGGTTACATCACAACCACGGAATGCCACGCGCTCGCTAATACGCGGGGAATCCCCCATCACATCTGTCAGTTCATTTTGACAACTAGTGCGGCCGAACATAGAGCTAGACAATAGTGATGATGCTAATCGATTAAAGTTCGGTTATTTCGTCTAACAGTAGTAAATAATCTCCATTCACAATATACGGTGACTTAAGCATATATAATCATGTATTTATAAAAATTAAGAATAATATTAGGAAATTAAACTGCTTTGCGACAGAGTTAACAAAAAAAAAATATGTATACGTAGATATTGAAATACGACCTATGTTGGTACTAACGAAAAGTGTTTATAAGATTAAGAATATTTTATATTCAAATTAACTTATAAAAATAATGTCTTACATATTTTTTCTATTGCGCTGTAACCCGTTAAGGCCATATTTTCGAAGACAAAGTACAAGCGTAAGAACGCAGATTTAGCAACATTTACCCAAAGCCATGTGTCATTGCCAATACAAATTTTATTAACATTATGGTTTGACTGTGCACACAAAACGAAAAATATAATTTATGTACTTAACAAAATAAATAATGTTACTTTTATTTGTCATTTTCGTACGTGTTTATAATTTACGTTCTTATTTTTAACGTGAATATTCTTATGAAATTTCTGTATACACAGTTGGACACACCAATCGTTTGATACAAACTGCCTTATTTTAATTTGCTATTGAAATTTGTATTGTGTATATAAATTTGAGTTTGGGTCATCAAATAGACATTTACTCTTATTTTAATGAAGTAAGACTCAGTGAAATCTGTATAGAAATTGTATTTTACAATTGCCATAAGATGCTATTTAATAATAAATGCATGGTTAGTCCAACTATGCTCCCTGGAGATTTTTCTAGATGAAGGTATTTATTTTATTAGCCCTAAAAAAGCCAAGCTTTAGTTTCAGAAACAAATCATATTTAGTAGCAACAAACGTATAGAGCTTGTTTGTAACAAAAATAAATTATAATAAGTATTTCAATGGTATGCTTTTATCGTCCCACTAAGCGCAAACTTTTTGCAAAACTCTCATGAAATGTGTATAACATTCGTATCTTGAATTCATTTAACAATAAATACCGTAAATAAAATCAATCTTACTATCGGACAAATTTATTCCTGAGCCACTTGCCCGATAATTTGTTTAAAAATGTCAAAGCAGACAAGTTTTTTTCTATAGAAATACGTAATTGCACTTAGAACCTTCTAAAACAAGGAAACTGTATTGATATGGATCAAAGATCTTTGAAATTTGGTATTTATTCATAATGCAATAGATCATCATAATATACCTAGATAAAATCGGAAAAGCAGTTTGAATATCGAAATCACTGTTAAAATCGTAAATGTAATAAAAAAACTAGATTTCTTGACATTAAGAAAAACGTTGGTATTAACTACTATGGATACCCCACGGAAATCCTAAATATAAGGGCAAAACTCCAAATATTGTAACGTCAAGACTTTGATTATTTATTCTCTACATAGAGCGTCACCTAATAAACACTGCTACTAAAACTGACTAGGTTTTATATACTTGTGTGCGTTACACGCAAACTTTTTGCCAAACCACGCGAATCTTGTATTTTACACTCGCGAAATGCCAGCGAAATATCATTATTTTTGTCTCGGTGCGCATGCGTAAGATACTAGGTTATGCCACATTTCCCAAAAAAGTGGGTAAACTTAAATCAAAATAAGTATATTTTTCACTTCACTTTTTACTTTATTATAACTCAACTAAAATACTTTGTCCTTATAAGTATCAATGGATATGCAGTTTTCTCTTTAGCTACACACTGTAAATGTCAAAAAAGATGGCGAATAAGCCGACTGATCAGAGCAATATGTCGTGACTTAATTTATATATCTACTTGTCTATGTTTACCTAATTCTCTTCCTTATTAGATTTTGAAACGATTTCCAAGTTAAAATTTAATACTCAGTGCTTATGGTAAGTCTTAGTACCATAGTCTAACCTTTTGTCAAACAAATTGTATTGTCATAGTTTGCTAATTTTACCAATATTGGTTTTCATTTGCAGCCTAGATCTCTGAGTTCTGACAGTCAACCGGAAGCAAAAAGAAGACACAGTGAAGCCAGTATGTAGTTTTGACAATGATCTATAGTTAGTGATTTTATTGTTATAATATTATGTAGTCTGTCGAGAAAAATAAAAGTTTCAATAGATTTTCAGCACATCGCAAATGTAGAGTTTTGAATTTCGCCCGCAATGGTAAGGTTTTTATTTTTAAAGTCGGCCTAGGTCGGGAATGGGTAAACTATTTCCTTAGTATACCAATAATTTAAGTATCATATTTCTATGGCGGGCCAGAATTATAGTGTAGTGTGCACTAGCTTATTTTTGACCTAAAAAATTTCCTCTTCATTTTATCGCTGTAATGTATTATTGAATGATCAAACGAACTTACCCAAGTGAAGTTCGATCTGAATTGTCCTGTTATCGCTGAAGAGATTCATGGGACTGGCTGGTCGTAATGTACTACATAGTAAAAAAAAAAACTCGGAGGCGATAACAGGACAATGCAGTTTTTCCAACTACCTGTGTAAATGCCTATCACTAATATTGCGCTTGATGCCTGTAAATTATATTTTTAAATATAGTAGTAGCTGAGTGTCTTTATTAAGTAGTGACACAGTGAATATGAGAGAATTTCAATTTCCAAATCAAAATGAAAAGTTTTCCCTTGAGCTGATTTTAATTAAAACAGCTAAGAAAGTTAATAACTTTTGTATCTTTTTGGAAAGCTTATGGAACTGGTTAGTCATTTTACTGATTTGTACCCATGATATTAAATACCCTGGATACACCACGTCCGTTCAAAATGTGTCCCAATCAAGAAGTGCTTGAATACCACTCAAGCACTTCTTGATTCACAGTCACGCGCGGACCGTTGAAAAGTAGAGTTGCCACAGAGCTTCGTGAAAAAATGCGAAAAAAATAGTTATAGTATGTAAAGTGTCGTTTTTTCGACATGTATCTAATCAATGTTTCTGAATTTAACGCATTTGAAGCACTTACTTAAACTGATTTAATAGAAAATATTTGTGATATTCAAATGCATGGTCCGTAGTATAGTCGTCTCTTTT